TTGAGGCCTGGGTTTCAGGTGGATTCCTTCTGAGAAGACAGACTGAGGTGTGGGGGATCTCTCAGGGTGGTGTGAGTTAGGGCTGAAACCTGAGGACTGGTGTTTTTCTGGCATCCGTGGTTGTAGATTTAGTGCTGGCTCAGCCTAACACTGAGCATCTAGTTACTGGGGTTTTCCTAGGAGGTTAGCCACCGTAGGAGGGCCCTAAGCTTTGCCTTTTGTCACCCCAGAGGCCATCAGAGCTGGCAATCCAGGTCACTAGTGCAGCAAATGCCCTCACGGCAGGCTTGGCAGGTCTCCTGAGGTTGCACTTTTACTTAGTGTTTGGCCTCTGGCAGCTCAGACTTTTTTTTTGTCAATTTAGTGATGCATTTAAGACTTTGATTTTGATTGTTTTCAGAGACAGGGTCTTGCTCTGTTGTCCAGGCTGGAGTGCTGTGGTGTGATCGTGGCTCATTGTAGCCTGGAACTCTTAGGCTCAAGTGATTCTCCCACCTCAGCCTCCTGAGTAGCTAGACTTACAGGCGCCCACCACCATGCCCGGCTAATTTATTTTTATTTTTTGTAGATATGGGGTCTGACTATGTTGCCCTGGTTGTTCTTGAACTTCTGGCCTCCAGCAGTCCTCCTGCCTTGGCCTCCCAAAGTGCTGGGATTACAGGCCTGAGCCACTGTGCCTGGCTGTGTTTAAAAAATTTTTTAAGATAATTATTTATTTTATTTTATTTATTTGAGATGGGGTCTCGCTGTATCACCCAGGCTGGAGTACAGTGGTGCGGTCATGGCTCACTGCAGCCTTGACATCCTGGGCTCAAGCCATCCTCCCACCTCAGCCTCCTGAGTAGCTGGGACCACAGGCATACACCACCACACCTGGCTAATTTATTTTTATTTTTTGTAAAGACAAGGTCTCCCTATGTTGCCCACGCTGGTCTTGAACACCTGGGCTCTAGTAATCCTCCCACCTTGGCCTCCCAAAGTGCTGGGATTATAGGCATGAGTCACCATGCCTGGCCTTTTAAGAAACTTTTATCAACATCTTTAGTTGTTTTTTGGGAGAGGGCCGCCCAGGGTGTCCGTCCTGGTGTAAAGGGGTGCTGACCTAGCCTTCAGTCTTGCTGGTTATGGGCTGGAGCTTCCTCGGGGGATGCTGGAGCTATTTCCATGCCCTTGTGTGAGATATGCAGCAGGGCGAAAGGTCCTGTTTGAGGCACTCCCAGCAGCCTGTGTGGCCTGTCCTTGTACTGTCACATGCCCAATGGGACAGGCAGGACCTGGTGGGCTGGGGCAGGCAGGGGTGGTACCAGTGGCCTCTCTGGGTGGTGGCTCCCCACATTGACTCACTTCGTGGTACTCTTTGCTGATTTACACAGAAGGGTTAGGGGACTTGAGTACAGGGCTGTGCAGCCCAAGGGCAGGGCGGGGGCCCAGGCTGAGCTGAGGCCTGTCTGGTATGAACCCCCAAAAGCCCGAGAATGTCTTGGGTAGAGACCTGTGGTTTTTGGGCTCCCGCCACTGCCCCAGGCCTGCTTCATCTGTAGGGAGGAAGGCCCTGCAGGTGTGGGCGGGTGTGTGCCAGCAGGACGTTTGCAGGCCTGCCCCTGCCTCCCTTGAGTGCGGTGTCCGTGGACCTCTGTGCCAGTTGCACCTGCCCGCTGGTCCCCACACCCAGAGGAGCGCTCTGGACCTCTCTTGGGAGAGCCCTGGGGCCTGCCGAGCTGCCTCCGCAGTGGCACATTGCAGGCAGATGCCGTTGTCGTCCATTTGTGCCCTGGGGCTTTCAGGGGTGTTTGTGGCTTCTCTGGAAAGGCTGTTAGAGTTACACAAATTGTGTCAGACTGTCTTTCATTTTTCAAAGAATGTGGCTCACTTTGACACCTGGAAGAGCAGGCAGAAGCCAAAGTTGTGCTCTGTGAATTAAGTTTCCTGTTCCTTTGCCTCCGGGAGGACAGGGCCAGGGCTGGGCTGGGGCCACCGCGAGGACGGCTGGGCGCACACAGGCCTTGCGCAAGGGCGGCCTTTGCTCCACAGCCTGGGGCCAGGCAAGATAGGGGAACGTGATGATTCTCAATTAAATTAATAAAGAATAATTAGATGTCATAAATCAAGCAATCCTAGGATATTGTCATGGGAAAAATATGTAGCTAGAATTAATTAGTTTTCAAATAAAGCATTTATTTTAATTACTTGAAATGATGGAGCCCTTAATTGCCGATGCATCATTTTGGCCTGTGCGTTTTGGTTGTTGTAACAACGTGACGGGTTTGTTCCCTGCAATTCTGGGGAAACAATAGAGGAGAACTTGATTTCATCACCTGAGAATGAGCCTTCTGCTGGCGAGGTTCTGGAAACTCCCGCCAGGCCCCAGGCAGGTGGCAAGTGGGGGCCGGGCTTCGGCTGGCACCGCCCAAGGCCGCCGTGCTGTCTGTGTGTGTGCTTCTCTGTGCTGTGTGTGCAGGTGTGTGCACATACATGAATGCCTGTGCCTGAGTGTGTGAGTCTGCATGTGTGTATGTGTGTATAGGTATGAATGTGTGCATGTGTGTGTGCCTGTGTGTATGTGCACATGAGTGTGTGAACATGTATGTGTATGCATGTGTCCTATGCGTGGGTTTTGCATGTGTGTGTGCACCGTGTGCATGTGTGTGCCTGTGTGTATGTGTGTGCATAGCATGTGTCCAATGTGTGTCCGTGCCTGGACTGCACGGGGAGCCTGTGTAGAGGTGACCTGTCAGGCTCTGCTTCCTGGACGGGAGTCATGAGAGGGGCCCTCCATCCTGGACTCGGTGCTTTCCTGCTAGGTGGAGGTGCTTTTGCTGGGTCTGCATTCTTTGGCTCCTCTTGGAGCTGGGGCCCTGTCTCCCTGTCCGCCTGACTAGCTTGCCTTTCTTACCTGGCAGGCATAGCACCAGCAGGCGGTGGCTTCTGAGAACTGTCCTCCAAGCCAACCCGCTGAGGGCAGCTGTTCCAGCCCCTGGCCCGGCTGCGTCTTCAGGAGTCTTCCCCATCCCAGGCTGGAGCAGGGGCCGTGGGTCTTGGGAACAGTGTGGGGTCTGGTCCCTCCACCTCCCCTGGAAGCCACTCTCAAGTTTGGCCATGGTCAGGTGGCTTTCAGCCAGAGGTGAGAGAGGATGAAACCCCTCTCATCCCCCTCAAAAAAGAAAAGGAAAAATGGAACTTGGCAGTTAGTAAAGGACATCCCAGCGAACTCCACATTGTCTTTGGGACCCCTTGAGAGAGGCAGGGTCGGGAGGTAGAGTGGCTGCCCGAGGTCTCTCCAGGCAGGGTGGACCTGCGCCCTGGAGTCACTGCCTGGCCCCTCCCAGGCCTCCTGCCCTCCCCCATGCAGCCTGTGCGGGCCCTGGCTGCTGTCCACCCTCCACTCTGCAGGACACCTTGGCAGGGGCATTTCTTAGGTATTTTGAACCTTTGTTCCAGCTGGGCTACTGCTGCCTCTCCTGAAGGAGAGGGCTGGCGTGTATTCAGGAGGAAAGAGACAGGGCTTGGCGGTGGTAGTGCCACTGAAGGGGCACCCTGGACAGCCACCTCCAGACATCCACAGCACTCCTGCCTCTGCACCTGCACCCCCATCTGCCTCCCACCCAGCACCTTCTGGAAGAGTCCTTCCCACCTCCCCTGCCCTGGTCCTTTACTGGCCCCAGTCCCTTTGCTGGCTGTGGCTGCCGTGGGCCATCCTTCCTGCCCTGTGTGCAGGCTGTAGGCGACTGGGCCGGGGCCTGTCGCACTGTCCCAGAGCCCAGTGGAAGAGGCCCCCTGTGACAGGCTGCCCCAGCCACCCAGTGGTCTGCTCCTGGCCTTTCCCTCTGTGCCTTAGCCCAGCTCAGGGCCTGCAGGCAGACAGACGTGGAACGGGTCGCTTCTGGCTCCAGGGCCACCCCACAGAGCAGCCAGCTGTGGGGCTGAGGTGGAGTGAGAGGCTCTACGGGGTTGGGTGGTTGGGTGGGCTGGGCAGGGACCGGGGAAGCCTCTCTGGGTGGGTGGTGGCCCTGCAGGCCTACCCGACAGGCCCAGTGGTCCGGGGAGCAGCTGCTCATTGGTGAGTGCAGCTCGCCCAAGCAGCCGCACGGCGACTCTGCCCCGGCCACTCTGCCCTTCAGTGGCACCACAAAACCCTAGAGTACTTCAGGCCTCAGCGCCAGGGGCCTGGCGCAGCTCAGTGACTATTCTCTGCCTCAGTTTCCCCAAGTGGAAAAGGGGTGCTGCCGCCTCACAGGGTGGTGATGGCAGTTAGAAATTGTGGTGGGGCAGGCCCAGGGCCCAGCAGATGTGAGAGGAAGGCTCCTCCTAACAGCCCCCCTGGGACCCTGCATGCCTCTTTTCCCCCGATCCCTGATCCCTGAGCTGGCCATGGGCAGAGGTGGCAGCAGGGATGAGAGAAGAAAGGAGACTGGATTTGCCAGCGGGGAGGGAGGGTGGCTCCCAAGAGAGACACTGGAGTGAGGCCTGGACAGAGGGTGGGACTCAGCCAAGCCCAGTGGCAGGACCAGCAGTCCCAGCACGCAGATGGCCAGAGTGGGAAAGCACCAGTGTGGCTGCTGGGATCTGGGGAGCCAGAGGGCACAGCCAGTGGTGGACAGGAAGGCCTGGAGGCCAGGGTGACTGAAGGAATGTTGGACACTGCTGTGCCCACCCAGGGATGATTCAGATGGGACCCAAGTGGGTGCACCAGTCAGGTGCAGAGGCCAACAGGCATAGTGCGAGGAGGGCTGGCATCCATGGGGCTCCCAGGTTCCCCCAGCAGTGGGGGAAGGGTGAACTCCGTGCTTTCTGCTGGGCTCACCGCCGTGCGGGAAACTGGTGCCTCTGCAGCCACAGACCATTCATCAATGTCTGGGGAGCAGGGGTGCCTCTCCCAGGAGGGGCAGAGGGCCAGGGACACTGAGCAGGGGCAGCGTCTCAAGCACCTTTGTGCCTGAGCAGCCTTCCTAGAGGATGGGAGTAGGGACGCAGTCACTCACACGCCCTCCCTTGGTGCCCAGGTAACTGCATCCTGCCAGCATGGAGGCCCCCTGCCCGCCACCGCCTCCAGACCCCCAGTTTGTCCTCCGAGGCACCCAGTCACCGGTGCATGCGCTGCACTTCTGGGAAGGAGCCCAGGCTCAGGGGCACCCGGTCCTCTTCTCAGGGTGAGTAGCTGCGGCCCCAGCCCCAGGCCACCCAGGGCCAAGTCAGGAGGTCGTGACCTAGCAAGGAGCCCAGCACTTGTTTGAGGGTGCTGGCCAAGGGGCATGGACTGCTCGTCACCCAGGCTCGCACCCACCAGACAGACACACTGTCCCTTGGGGGAGGCAGGGACACGCACACTCTTTGTTACAGACTCAGGAGCAGGCAAGACCACCGAGCATGCATTTCTGCGGCATGGCTCCCCCCACCTCCAGAGAAGCAGATCTGCCTGAGTCACGCCTAGAGGCTCCTGAGGGTCCCCCACTGCCCTCTCTGGAACAGGAGCACTTTGCCAGTTTGCCCCTTAGTTCATATTTAGAGCTGTCGGCTTTTCAGCTCTACCAGCCTAGATGCCCGCATCCCACAATGTGGCCTCCAGGCTGGCCCCGGAGCATTCAGCACACCCTTCTGCCCCCTGACGCCCTGCTCGGCTTGTCTGAAACAGGTCTCAGAGTGGCCTGGTACACGTCTGGAGCCTGCAGACACGGAGAGCGGTCACCACCCTGGATGGCCACAGGGGCCAGTGTGTAACCTGGCTGCAGACGCTGCCCCAGGGGCACCAGCTCCTCAGGTGGGTCTCCAAGGCGCGGGAGCAGGTATGGCCTTCGGGGGAGTCAGGAACTCTCTGATGGAGGCCCTAGTGTCCATCACTGGTTGGCAGAACGGGGTGGAGGGACCAGAAGGGGCCAGAAGAGGGTCCGCAGCAAGGGCAGGGTGTGCAGGACCAGCCCCTCGTCGTGGGGAGGCAGGCAGGTCTGTCTCTGCATCTCCACCATCTCCACTGGACCCTTCATGCTCCAAGCTGGAGCCAGGAGGTGCCAGCTGAGGAGGCCAGAGCTCCAGGGCTGGTGACATCTGAAGTGAGCCCAGGTACAAGTTGGTGGGAGGGCCTTCACAAGGGCACTGGGTTGTGGCTTGGGAGACTGGGCAGGGGTGAGGGCATTTGCTGAGAGGAGGGGAATGGGACAAAGTACAGGCTCAGAGATGCAGGCAGTGGTCCCAAGGAGGGCCTCCCTGTCCACTGCCCTTCCTGCCTGAGCCGTGTGCCATGAGCATGGCAGGTCACACACGGTGCCAGTGGAGGCCCTGGGAACTGGGGGTTCTGGCAGCTGAGCCCTGGCCGTGTGTGTCCCTTCACTAGGTTATGACAATGCACCTGACTCTTCCCAAGAGGACCCAGCCCCTGATGTGCCACATACGGCTATGTGGCCGGCAAGATGGCGGCTGAGTGGCCGGGGGCGGGGCGCAGGGCTTGGGCGTGTAATGCTGTCCCACAGCGGTGTGTTTTGTGTTTCTGAAGTGGGCATGGTAGTGAGGGCCATCTCTCCATCCAGTCTCCCCTGCAGTGTCTCCTATGGTTTCTGCCCCTGCAGTCTCCTCCCTCAGGGCCCCGAGCTAACATGTGTGTTCTGTCCCCTACACATCACTTGGGCATGACTTGTCCAGACTGTGCCTCCGCAGGAAGGGTCCACAGAGGTGGCCTGTCCCTGTTGGTACTCAGACCCCACTGTTCTAGCCTCTGCTTAGTACAGGGGCAGGTTTCTGGGTGCCCCCATGGTTCACGAGCCCTTTGCCCATCCCGAGACAGTGTGACCCTACCCTCCATGACTGCTGTGCTGTCTGGCCAGGTGCCTGCTGGGAAGAGCCCAGTGAACGTATGGGGATGGCTGTGGCGCCATTGCAGTGTCAGCCTGTGCCTTCAGCAGAGCTCTCCCTGGCCAGGGGTCCACATTGAGCCCAGGCCTCTCCTCAGAGGAGCCTCTGCCTCCATCCCATGGGCCCAGGTCCCAGGGCCACCTCTGTGGACCCTTCTGCAGCTTGGTCTCCCATGGCCATGACACCATCCTCCTGATGGGTGGCAGAGCCTCATCCTGAGGTTACCTGGCTCACAGGGCCCTGCTCCACACGCTGGTGCACTACTGGGTGAGCAGGAGGTGGCGGGGAAACAAGAGGGCCTGGCATTCCTGGTTAGGGAGATCCCATGTGCTGAGGCCCTGGAGGTCCTGCCTGTGAGTGTGGTGAGGGACACTGGGGCTGGATGCTGGGCAGCTGGCAGCAGAGCAGGGAGGGGCAGCCCCTGGGGGTTAGCCCAATGCTGGGTTCTGACATTACCCCCATGGTCTTGTGGAGGTGACGGGGCTAGGACAACAGGCCGGAGGTAGGCCAGGAAGCAGCAGGCAGGGGCAGGTGCTTGAGGGGCTTCTCTGCTTCCCATGGGGAGTGGGAGGGACAGGGTATGGTGGGACAGGGAAGGCCTGCAGGCAGCTGGCAACAAGTCCTCCTTTGGGCCGCCTGGATGCCGGAGCAGGCTATTGTCCTTGATCACAGTGACATCTGCCCCTGTGTGGGGATCGCTGCCACCAGCCCAGAAATTCTGAGCACGGGCCTGCTGCTGTCCTGGGATTTGCCTTGCTTCCTATTCAGGGAACTCCGTGCCATCACCATCACGGCCCAGAACTCCAAAACGACAGGCCCGTTCTCCTGCTCTGGACTCGGTGCCTAGTTCATGGCACTGTGGACTCCAGTCCCCGGGGAATGAGGCCTGTCTGGCCCCCACCAGTCTGCAAAACATGTCTGTGCCAGACTCATGCGGTGCCTACCACCTGGGAGATGGCTGCAGGTGACGGAGGCACCAGGGTTGTCCTGGAGAGCAGAGGCCCTGAGCCTGTGTGTTTGCAGAACCCTGGGCCTGTGTGTTTGCAGAACCCTGGGCCTGTGTGCTTGCAGAACCCCGGGCCTGTGTGCTTGCAGAACCCCGGGCCTGTGTGCTTGCAGAACCCCGGGCCTGTGTGCTTGCAGAACCCGGCCTGTGTGCTTGCAGAACCCCGGGCCTGTGTGCTTGCAGAACCCCGGGCCTGTGTGCTTGCAGAACCCCGGGCCTGTGTGCTTGCAGAACCCCCTGTGGTCGTGCCTGCGTACTGGCCAAGACGACCCAGATCCCCCACCGCTGGTGCAGGGGGCCTCAGTGTGGGTTTGGTCTTTGATTGTCAGAGTAGACTTCATTTCTACAACCCCACCAGGCCATGTGCATCGGGAGCTGCTGTTTGTAAGGGTCCTCCTGAGCTTTCAGCCACAGTGTAGCCCTTGGTGGTCCCTTGCGTAGGTGCCTCGTGGTATCAGGCTGTCCTGCAGACGGGAGCTGTGCCAGGCCTGGTGGGCAGTCTGGGAGCTGGCGTTCGAGGGCGCCTCCCCTTCCTGCTGGGATGGTGCTGCAGTGGCCGCTTCCCAGGCAGGGCCAGCCACGGGTCAGGGGGTCTGTGGATGGAGACTGCAGGTGTGGAGTGCCAGGTGCGTTTGCACTGTACTAGAGCCTGTGGTCCGCCACCCGGCCTGCGCTCAGCTGTGTTTGGAAGCCAAGTCTCTCCAAGTGGCCCTTGAAGGAAGTGATGGCTTTCATGTCGATGGGAGGTGGGAGGACGCCCTCAGCCTCCCACATGCCAAGGACGCACCTGTGCCCTCGACAGCCACCTCAGCAGGGTGTATTTTTATCTTTTTTCTTGTGAAGTATAATGTACTCACAGAAAAGCGCAAGACAAGTGTGCTCAGAGCATTGTATTATGGCTGAGTGGGCACCTGAGCAACCACCTTCCAGTCAGGAAGTAGAGCGCAGGGCCCCCGAGCCTCCGAACCCCGAGCTGCTGCCACCTGCTCTCCCTGGAGGTAGCCCCCTCATGCCCCAGGAAGTAGCCCCTCATGCCTCATTTTTGCTTTATTTCTGAATATCTGTCTCTAAAAAGCATAGACTAGTTTCATCTGCTTTTTTCCTTGAAAGTGTAGAGAAATAAGGAACAGCATCTGTGTGTGACTTCTGTCACTCAGCTTTATCTCCGTGAGCTCCCTGTGTTGCATGTAGCTGCAGTCAGCTGTCGCTGTTTCCTTTTTCTTACTTTTTTTTTTTTTTGAGAGAGAGTCTTGCTCTGTCGCCAGGCTGGAGTTTAGTGGCGCGATCTCGACTCACCGACTCCTTGGTTCAAGTGATTCTCCTGCCTCAGCCTTCCGAATAGCTGAGATTAGAGGCATGCGCCATTACGCCCAGCCAATTTTTGTATTTTTAGTAGAGACAGGGTTTCACCATATTGGCCGGGACGGTCTCGGTCTCCTGATTTCATAATCTGCCTGCCTTGGCCTCCCAGAGTGCTGGGATTACAGACGTGAGTCGCTGTGCATGGCCCCTAATGGTGTCTTCAATGAACAAAGGTTACTCATTTTAATGGAGTCGATTCAAGTCTGCCAGACTTTCCCCTTATGGAGAGTGCCTTTGTGTCTTGCAGGGAGTTCCCACGCCGAGGTCCAAGAGACCTCTCTCCATGTCTCCCCGGAGCTTTGCTGTTGTCCCTTGTAGGTCCATGGTTCAGCTGGAATTCACTACGGTGTGCAGTGAAGGGTCTGTGTTTCCATGTGGGTACCCAGCGGTCCTGCCTTCCCCCACCTCAATGCCCCTTGGATGGGGCAGGAAGGGGATCCAGGCTGTTAAAGAAGCAGGGTCATGGGAGTGGTGTGGCAGCGGCAGCCTGGGAGGCTGGGAGGTTGGTGAGAGCAGGCGGGCAGGCTCACTGGTTGAGCGTGTCAGTGAACATCTTCAGGAGAACAGAGGCCAGGGTTGTTCCTGCCCAGAGAGGAGAGTTACCAACACGGGAAGGGGGAAAGTGAAAAAGAACCTGTGTATTGTGTGTGTGAGGTTTGTGTATGGAAGTTGTGTGTGTGAGAGATGCCTGTGTGGTGTGTATGTATGTGAGGTGTGTCTGAGGTGTGTGGTGTGTGCGATTGTGTGTTGTGTGCATGCGTGGAAGGTGTGTGTGTGTTCCCTCGCCTGCGTATGGAGGGGTCTGGCGGCCAGGGCATGCTCTAGCTGTGAGCAGTTGGACACCCAGGTCCTGGCTTCTAAATGCCTGTGTGTCCCGGTGGAGTGAGGGTTCCCCAGGAGATGGCAGATTCTAGGTCTGGACATCTCACGGATGGCCACATGTCAGAGGATTCTGAGCCAGCCTGCAGGGGCTCCCATTAGCCTAGGCCAATATGAGCACTAAAATGAATGATCAGAATTTGGGGTGATGAGCCTTTGAATATGATGGGTGCTGACCAGGCGACCAGGGTTGACACCCCCGATGGTGGGCAGGGCACGTCGGGTGCCTCGCAGCGTGATGACTGAGGAGAGGCAGCATCATCTGGTGTCCCCTGAGAAATATGGGTCTGGGTCTTGTCACCAGGGAAGGAAGGAGTGCAAGGACATGAGAGAAAGGCAGAGACAGGGAGAGAGAAGGGGCCGTGCAGGGATCAGAGGGAGCCGGGGCCCACAGCAACGCAATGTGTGCCCCGCGAGACCCCACACAGGCCACGACGCCCCAGGATGACTGCGGGCTGTTGGGGTTCACCCTTGGTCAGGATGTGGTGGTGACAAGGCGGGGTTCTTGGTGACAGGCTCACCTGTGTGCACAGGGCTGGGAGAGGCCAGGAGAAGGAGGCCACTGCAGCAGGAGGCGTAGGGAGTCTTCGTGCTGTTCTCACAACTGTCCTGTGAGTTCAAAACTGATTCAAAATAAAAGGTTAAGCTGGGCTGGCCGGGCACGGTGGCTCAGGCCTGTAATCCCAGCACTTTGGGATGCCGAGGCGGGGGGATCACGAGGTTAGGAGATCAAGACCATCCTGGCTAACATGGTGAAACCCCATCTCTACTAAAAATACAAAAATATTAGCCAGGTGTGGTGGCGGGGTGCCTGTAGTCCCAGCTACTTGGGAGGCTGAGGCAGGAGAATGGCGTGAACCCAGCAGGTGGAGCCTGCAATGAGCCGAGATCATACCACTGCACTCCAGCCTAGGGGACAGAGCAAGACTCCATCTCAAAAAAAAAAAAAAAGTTAAGCTGGGCACAGTGGCTCACTCCTGTAATCCTAGCACTTAGGGAGGCTGAGGTATGCTTGGGCCTAGAGTTCAAGACCAGCTTGGGAAACATCATGAAATCTCGTCTCTACAAAAAAATACAAAAATTAGCTGAGTGTGGTGGCACACGCTGGTCATCCCAGCTACTTGGGAGGCTGAAGTGGGAGGATCACCTGATCCTGGGAGTTTGAGGCTGCAGTGAGCTGTGATCACCCCACTGCACTCCACCCTGGGCAGCAGATCAAGACACTGTCTCAAAGAAAAAAATGTTAAAGTTCCTGGAAAGACAAGTCAGTCCTCTGCTCCCTGCAGGCGCACATGGATGCCCTCCCTGTGAGCGTGGTGTGCAGCCACATCTCCCCTCCCTTGGCCCTGGCCCTCTTCATGCTGAGGACACCCCCATCTCGGCCTCCCTGCAGTGTCACATTGAGCCTTGCTGCCTAGCAGAGCCCCGGGGGCTGTGCGAGTCTTTGGGCTCCAAATGTCCAGGTACATTTTAATATCAGTTTGGCAGGTTCTCCAAAACCCCCGTGGAGATTTGGACAGCGACTGGGTTGCCCAGATCAGTCTTTGTGGTGCTGAGTTCTCTGGCGTGGACGCCGCACACCGCACAGCCCTTCTGGCAGAACATGGGTGCGTGATAATAACTGGGACCCAGACTTTGTTTCAATTTCTTCTGTTTGTCCACCAATGACGTTTCTGCTCCAGGATCCTCTGAGCTGTCACGTCTCCTTAGTCCCTTCTGGGTGTGTGATCATTTATTTTCGTGACCTCAACATTTTGGTCTTTTTTTTTTTTTTTTTTGAGGCAGGGTCTTGCTTTGTCACCAAGGCTGGAGTGCAGTGGTATCATCACAGCTCACACAGCCTCAATCTCCCAGGCTCAAGCAATTCTCCTACCTCAGCCCCCTGAGTAGCTGGAACTGCAGGCACACGCCACCAAGCTTGACTAATTAAAAAAAATTTTTTTGTGGAGATGGAGTCTCACTATGTCAGCGAGGCTGGTCTTGAACTCCTGGGCTCGAGCAATCCTCTCACCACCACTTTCCAAAGTGCTGGGATTACAGGCCTGAGTCATCACACCTAGCTGACACTTTTGAAGAGTTACTGCACAGATGTTTTGTAGAACACCCCTCAGGTTGGGTTTGTCTGATGTTTTCTCAGGTTAAAACTGGGGTGATGGGTGTTGGGAAGAAACCCACAGAAGTGAGGTTTCTCATCCTATCATCCTGGTGTCCATGCTGAGCACATGGGTCCCTGATGGCCCATGGCTTGGCGAGGACGACCCTGGTCGCTGGGGCAGGAAGTGTCTGCCTGACTCCACTGTCAAGGTATAGCTGCTTACTAGTTGCAGTCCACATGCAAAGGGAAAATGAAGCTCCACCTCCTGGGGGGAGGAGCGCCAAGGATGTGTGGCCCTGTGTTACAATCACCGCAGAAATTACTAACATCTGGGGAGTGTAGTCACAGCTACTCAGGAGGCTGAGGCGAGAGGATCGTTTAAGCCGAGGAGTTTGAGACCAGCCTAGACAATATCTTGAGACCCTTACACTTTTGCCGCTGATTTTAGCATCCATCTGTGGACTCTGCCTGCACTAGTTATTACTGGGGTGTTCTCATTTCCTTCATCCCTCCCAGCCATGGCAGATTCCTACTTTAATTGGAATATAAGAAGCTGGAAGGAAGGTTTATTCCTTCTTTCTGATACATAATGCACATTCACTCATGAGGATGGGCTCATGCAGATTTACTTCTTTCTTTGAGCTAAAATCTAATACCACCATGATTTATTTGATTTCTCAGATTGTTCCAGCTTCAGAGCCCGTGTCCCTCTGACATCCCTGTTCCTTTTTTATTTTTATTTTATTTTTTGAGACAGGGTCTCCTGGAGTGCAGTGGCTCCATCATGGCTCACTACAGCTTCCAACTCCCAGGCTTAAGCAATCCTCCCACCGAAGCCTCCTGAGTAGCTGGGTCTACAGGCACACACCACCAGGCCTGGCCAATTTTTGTGTCTTTTGTAGAAATAGGGGTCTCACTGTTTTGCCCAGGCCGATCTGGAACTCCTGGGCTCAAGCAATCCTCCTGCCTTGACCTCCCAAAGTGCTGGGATTTTAGGTGTGAGCCACCTCACCCAGTCTTTATTTTATTTTATTTTTTATTTATTGAGACAGAGTCTTGCTTTGTCACCCAGGCTGGAGTGCAATGGCTCAATCTTGGCTCACCACAACTTCCGCCTCCCGGGTTCAAACAATTCTCATGCCTCAGCCTCCCAAGTAGCTGGGATTACAGGCGCACGCCACCACGCCCAGCTGATCTTTTTGTGTTTTTAGTAGAGACGAGGTTTCACCATGTTGGCCAGGCTGGTCTTGAACTCCTGACCTCTCAGGTTATCCACCTGCCTCAGCCTCCCACAGTGCTGAGTACAGACGTGAGCCACTGTACCCAGCCTTATTTTATTTCTGAAGCATTTCTCACTGCCTGGCACTACACGATGCTTGAGACTAGCATCTGGGTTTTCCTCCACTCTGTCCTGGAGTCAGCCATTTCTCCAGAGCCCTGGTTCCTGTCTTTGGAGAACAGGATAAGAAACCAAAACCTGGTATTAGGTGTGGTGTTCTCAGCGGACAGCAGTGGGAGGCGCCTGGGTTGCAGGGTGACCTGTGCTCACACACCCGTCTGCACTCACTTCTGTCTGTGCATCTGACCACTCGTTGCTCGTCTTGACTTTATAATTCTAATTTGACTCCGCCAGCCCATCTCTCCCTGTGCCTCTCTGTCACATCTCCCTGTGGTGAGACCCCGAGCCCGTGAGCCACCCCTGGTTTCCTCATCTGTTCTACCAGGTGTACGCGTGGAGAGGATCCCTAACTGTAACCTGCACTCCTCTGAGAAACTAATTCACCCACGGGAGCAGTTTCTGCACAGTTATTTTTGTCTTCAACCTCATAAGCATCTAGTCATGAGCACTACCCCCAAACGCCTCAGGTTGGCTGCCCTCTGTTCTCCCCCTTGTCAGTCTGCAGTCCTTCCTGGGGGCCTGGCACCCTGGGTGTTTGCTGGTTTTAGGATGCACACAGTGAAGTTTGCTGTCTGTGCTGTGCAGCACTGCAGGCTTGGTGTCCCCCACCCCGGGGCCACGCTGGGCAGCCGTCGGTCCACAGCCTTGGTCCACTGCGTGTCCTGGCCTCGGACACTTTGGTGCTGGCTCATGTGTCAATGCCAGAGCGGCGAGGCCCTTCCTCAGCTGAGGCTCCCGACCTGCGGTGATCCAAGCTCACGGCACCCGCTCTCTGGAAACGTAGCCTTGCCTTCCTTCCGCCGCAGGGGCCACGGGAGCTGACACTTGTCCAGGGGAGTCTCAGGCCTGTCTCCTCTTTGTCTGGCAGTCAGGGCCGAGACCTGAAGCTGTGCCTGTGGGACCTGGCGGAGGGCAGGAACGCTGTCGTGGACTCCATGCGCTTGGAGAGCGTGGGCTTCTGCCGGAGCAGCATCCTGGCCGGGGGCCAGCCGCGCTGGATGCTTGCCGTGCCAGGGAAGGGCAGCGACGAGGTGAGAGCCAGCCCACCTGAGGCCCCATGTTCTCCAAACAGCTGTGCTCATCCCCTGCACTTGGTTAGGAGGCGCCTGCGCCCACCCACGGGACCCCGTGGAGCTGCCCACCCGATGGCAGCTCCACCAGCCGGGGCTGGTGCACAGCCAGCTAGGCCTGGGCCTGTCCCCTTGGGGTGGCCTGGCTAATGAGCCATCCTCCTAGGGCAGAGGGAGAATCAGGAGGCGTTGGGGGAGGGGCCGGTGTTTTGGAGGCCTGGACACCCAACACAGTTCTGCACATGGAGGAGAGCAGCATGGGATGGCCAAGCATGGAGGCCCGAGGCCGGCAGGGGAATGACTGCTCAGGCCCTGAGGACCTTAGACCCACGTGGGAGGAACGCTCCGGGGCAGCTGGCAGGAGGCAGTGGGAGAGAGACCAAGGCCCTGGTGAAGTTGGAGGCCTGGGGAGGGCCGAGCCAGGGCAGCAGGGAGGGTGGTGTCTCAGGGCACAGAACCAGGGCTGGGCTGGGTGGGTGCAGGCACAGGGTGGTGATCACAGTCCCCAGGAGAAAGGTGAGCTAGGGAACACCCAGGGGGATGAGGGGGTCACCAAGCAGGGAAGCCACTGTTAGGTGGAATTTAGGCCAGAATGACCAGAGGTATTGGTAACACAGGACTGGCCCAGCTGGACAGTGGTGTCCCTACCCCCAGTGGCACAGGAGGCAGGGTCTGCCAAGGGAGGGGTGCCCAAGATGTGCAGGGAGGGTGTCATAGTGGTGGAGGGCGTGGCTAGAGGCTCAGCTCATGGGGGAGCCAAAGGGAAATCAGAGAAGAGCCTGTGAGTGGTGACTGTCCCGCCTGGTGAGTGGGGTGTGGTGGCCCGAGGGCAAGGCGTGGGGAGGACATACCATGGAGTAGGGGTCGCACATGTGGGGGCTACTGTCCATGCCCACTGCCAAGTCCTCCCCATTCCCTGTGCCCCAACTGTCTTTGGGGCTGGTACTGGGCAGGGCGGCCCCCACGCACAGTTGGGCTTGGCCTCTGCCCAAGGAGAGTCATTCTGTCTTCAGGCAGATCCAGTACATAAATAATGAGATAGGAACAGGCATTTATTTGTTCATTGCATTTAAATAACCAATTAGGAGCTACATACACTTTTCTTGCCAATCTGCCAAAAACCTGTTACAAGTTGTATTTATGTCAGAAAGAGGGGTGTGCTTCCTCCCCCGGGACCCAAGGTCTGCAGACCCACAGGAATGCCGCAGGAGTTTGAGTCAGCTCTTCCCTTGTCCTGCTGTCCTCCATGCGCTGGTCTTAGCCACCCCCAGGGCGCCAGCCAGCACTCGGTCAGCCTGCGCTGCCCCCGGCCCCATGTCCCCTGTGCTCAAGGCCATCTAACCCTCCTCCTGGCTTTCGGCTCTCTCCGTGGGGCGGCATCTGTCTTTTCCGGGGGCAGCCTGTCTGGAGACCTCGCACATCCTGGGAAAACAGTTGCTTTCCACATTCCCACCTGGAATCCGTCGGACTGGGCGGGAGAAAGCCTCGCTGGACTGCACCCAGACAACGCCCAGGGAGCCGCACTCCCACCCCACTCGGCCGACTGGGTGGCCACACTTGCCCAAACCTAACATCTTTCCTTCTGGAAACAAAAGTTGCAGTCAGATGCCAGGCAGAAAGCTCATGGGTGTCTGTAGGAGGCTCCAAGTACAGGCGCAGGCAGGGGCGGCCCCAGGCTGAGGACCCAGGCCAGGTGTACATGGTGTGTAACTCTGGTGCTTAGGTCCAGGGCTCACCGCTCCCCTGCACCCAGGATGTGGTTCAAGGCGCTGCCACCCCCACTCCCTCCTGCAGCGCTCAGAGTGGGGCATCAGGACTGCCCTGGGTTCTGCCCTCATCGCGCCCCACCATCATCTTTTGCCCCTGCCCTCACTGGCCTGCTCAAGTCGTTTGCCCTTGATGTCCCCTCACTCTCCCCAGAGGGGTCTTTTTGAGCCCAAATTGAGACAGGCCCTCCCTTGTTGGGGACTGTGTATGGCTGGGTAGGCTGTGTAGCCAGTGCCTGCCTCCTCCACAGCCCTCCCCACCCCACAGAAGCACAGGTGTGCTCAGGGCAGCTCCTCCTGCCCCTGGCTTAAGTCCCTCACCTCCCCACCCCATTAACTGCTGGAACTAGCCCATCCTCCTGATATAGCGACAAGAGGAGCAGATCTTATTTTAAGAAATCTGGCACAGAGGAGTGCAAAAAGGAGGAAATCATAGTCCCAGCTACTCAGGAGGCCGAAGCAGGAGGAACCCAGGAGTTCAAGACCATCCTGGGCAACACAGTGAGACTCCATCTCTACAAAAAGTTAGCTAAGCCTGGTGGCCGCACACCTGTAGTCCCAGCTACTGGGGAGGCTGAGGTGGGAGGGTTACTCGAGCTCAGGAGTTCAAGGCTGCAGTGAGCCGCAATGGCACCAGCCTGGGTGACAGAGTGAGACTCTGACTTTAAAACAAAACAAAACAAAACTTCTCAGTTTCATATGGGGAAAACAGGTCGTGAAACGGGAAAAGTTCCCTCATCCCCTCCCAAGCCATGCGATGGGGGCGTGTTCCGCTTCCTCAGTGCCCCACGCCTCAAACCTCTAGGGGAGCACACAGACAGGCAGGCTGTGAGGCTCCGGCTCCACAGCAGTGTCTAGGGGTGAACGTTTACAGCTGAAGCCCCAGTGGGTGTGTGTTACAGGCTGCTTTTTCAGTTTAGCTGTCCATAGGCGGCTTGTACTAGTCAGCTCAATTAGATGCTTGCCTTATCGCAAGGACAGAGGGCTTTCAGTATCGTGGGTTCTTGCCTTGGTGTAACGGAAGAATTGGATCACACGTGGGCTTGGAGAATGAGTGTAAGGTTTTATTGAGTAGAAGTAGCTCTCAGCAGATAGGGGAGCCAGAAGGGAGATGGTTTTCCCCTGGAGTCGGTCCGCTTGGTGGCCTGGGCTGTCCTCCAACTGCCCGGCCAGATTCCACCTCGTTCTGCTGGTCGATGGCCTGCCAGCATGCCAGCCTCTGTCGGGGTGCTCTTCCACCGCCATGCTCCCCTCGACGTCCTCTCAACGTCCTCTCAGCGTCCAGCTGCTTGTGTCTCTGCTTGCTAGGGTCTTGGGGGTTTTTATAGGCACAGAATGGGGACGTGGCGGGCCAGGGTGGTCTTGGGAAATGCAGCATTTGGGCGTGAATGCAGGAGTGCCTGTCCTCACCTAGGTCTGTAGGCACAGGCTACAAGGTGGAGCCCTTGCCAGGGGACTTCCCTTCCCAGCACTTCCCTGCCCCTCTCCCGTATCATTTGGAAATGTGGGGAGTGAGCCACACAGTGTGGTCTACACCCTCCCAGATCCTCCCCACAGCCCTGACGGTGGCTCTCACAGACCCTTCCTGAAAACAGCAAAGGGACAATGGTGGCAGCACCCAATGACAGCTTGCCGCTGCTCCCTTAGCTGGGATCACAGAGGCGGCACATGGGTCATAACTCTGGTCCCTGCAGGCCACCCAGGTGCCTGTAGCTCTTCATACAGTGGCCATGCTAATCCTAAGAGGAGAAACCCTGTCCCAGAGTTGCTGTTACTTGCAGAAGACAAAGAATAGCTAAGCCCACCCTGGTTTCTCCTGGGTTCTCCATGTTCTTCTGTGCCAGGCTCAGTGGCGCCTCGTCTTGGTTTTTGGATGTCCTTGTTCCTATATTTCCATGTTGCTAGAGCTTCTCCTTGAGCGGTTTTTCCACAAGGAATCCTTGGTGTCCACGGAGACCTCTGTTTTACCCTCCTGCTTATCATTCTGGCCGGCTTTGGAGTTCAGGCTTGACCACCTTCCCCAGAGCTCGCAGGCCTGGTCTTACCGTCACTGAGCCTCTTGGTTCCTGACTATAATCACCTCTCCCAGTGCTGAGTTCTTTTTTGCCCCCTTCATTGTGTGGCTCTCTTTGTTCCCCGGGGACCTCTTCCGTCAGATGGTTGGCTCACCCTGAGGCCCCTGGTTTCTGGGCTTGATGGGCAGGAGGCTCTATTTGTGTGTGCAGGTATGTACATGTTACCCATGCATGTGTGTGTGCATGCATTTGTGTGGGGCCTAGATCTGTGAGCCATCCCTGGTGCTGAGTGGGGCAGAAGCCCTATGTTCCAGGCTGAGCTCCTGGTGCTGTGTGGAGTAGAAGCCCTGCGGTCAGAGGCTGAGCTGCTGTGGGGGCCCCTGGCGAGAGTAACCTGCCCAGGAAGTGCCGTGGCCCTGGTCCATGTACTGGAGGTGGGCGCCTCAGCAGAACTCTGTAGCTGAAAGGACTGGGCTGTGGGCCTAGCTCTCTTCCCTGCCCGGAGGTGACCTCAGCACACCCCCAGCATGCCTGTGGCAGATCTGGGATTCAGACCTGGGGTCCCGGGCCTGTTCTGTGTGGGTTAGTGAGGGCAGCAAGCTTCTCACCCACACAGGCACAGGCCCCTAAGACACAATCCCCCTGCCTGGCTCAGGAGAATAGAGAGGCCAGAGACCACTGGACCAACTGGTATGATTTCTGCCTACACAGAGCCCCTAGCCTCTGGGGCTCGGACTCCTTGTGTGTAAACTGGGTGATGCCCCATGTATGCCAGGCTCTGCCCAAGGTGACTGTGCATTGATGTTATTGCCATGTTATCGGTAGCTCATTCCAAGTGGTTCCTGTGTAAAACGTGCACCAGGAAGGAGAAGCAGACCGAGGAGAGAGAATCAGCAGGCTCTGTCAGGGGCCAGTGAGCTGCTCTTGCTCGCACCTGGGGAAGTTCAGGGCTGACTGAGCCGCCTCAGTTCCCAGAGTGAGGGCAGAGGGTGCAGGTGGACCTGGATTCCAGCAGAACCACCTGGCAGTCTGCTGCTTGTGGCCTTGGCCATCCCCTGACCTGGCTGTTCAGGAGATGGGTGATCAGCGGGCCTGCACCCCACAAGCCAGCACGGCACATCTCCCAGCCCAGGTGTAGGAGGGCCCTGGCCTGTGTTCAGGGGACCTGGAATGCAGCCTTGATGCACAGGGCACACCGGGGTGCTGGGGGAGCCAGGTTTCCAGGAGCTGCCCTCAGAGGAGGCACATCACATTCATTTCTCAAGTGGGTGGCAAGTCCCTAGGTGCTCCTAGGCAAGTCTTAGAACCATGGCTATGCCTGAGATCACTCATAGTGGTTTGTATGTAAAGCCTGCACCAGGAAAGAGAGAGAATGGGCTGGCTCTGTCAGGGGCCAGAGAACCAGCCTGCTGCTCAGCCTGCGCGGTAACGTTGGGAGAGGCCGGGGCAGCTGCCAGGCAGTGACCCGGGAATGGTGCAAGCATTTTGCAAGGGCCCATGCAGCCTAATTAGGAGCCTGGGCTCCCAGGTGACCACGGGGAGGGGCGCAGACAGAAACTCACAGCAGCCCTGGTTAATCGCCTTAAGAGTCTCTTGTTTGTATAGTGCAGACTCAACTTGGCAACGGCCCAAATCAACTTGTTTTCTTACTGTCAGGTTCAGATTCTGGAGATGCCATCCAAGACGTCAGTGTGCGCCCTGAAGCCGAAGGCAGATGCCAAGCTAGGCATGCCCATGTGCCTGCGGCTGTGGCAGGTAAGGCCCCGCGTGCACCAGCCACGCCCTGCCGGCCACGCCCACGGCCATGAGTCATACTCCATTCAGGATCTGATTTATCGTCAAGCCACTCAGGCAACTCTCCCCCCACCCCCCGCCGCAGGGAACCTATGCAGCCGCCTCAGTGTCCCCATGGCCCTCTGCTTCCCGCTGCTGCAAGGGGCCTCCCGTCAGCATCCCAGGAGAGGCCTGGCTTCAGCCAGCAGTGGTGGCAGCAGGTCCTTGTCCTTTGCAGGCTTGGGTGGGTTCACCCCGCAGCCAGTGGTGCCCTCCAGTGAGCAGTGAGGAGGGGACAGTGGTGTCTGCCAGCGCCTCAGTATTGGGGCCCTGCTTAGGGCAGGGCGGGCCACGCTGACTAACTACAGCAAGCCTGCATGTCCCCGCTTTGCTTGGAATTAATTTTTGTTACTTCTTTGCCTCTTAGAGGCAGGAGTGGACTTAACACAATGACATTCCCTGAGGCCGCACTTGGAATTTCTGATCCACCAACACTTCCTTCCTTCTCAACTGTTCTTTGTGGTTAGACAGGGTTGGAAGGCATCAGCCGGGGCCCAGGTCGGGATTGCTAGGAGGGACTCTTCTGGGCCAGCTGCCTCCATGCAGCACAGCTTCCTTGAGGCCAGCTTCCTCCCTCATCACCCTCCAGGCCAGGTGTAGCTGCCCTCCTTGGGGCTGCTCATGTCTAGGGCTGCAGAGCAAGTGGTCCCATGCATTGACTTGCAAAGAGCCCCTTAGCCCTGAGCTGCCTCAGAAGCCCATGGTAAGGGGTCACCAGCAGCACCCTTCCCGGGGCCCTAGGTCATGCCAGGCACCCACCTTTTCTTTTTTTTTGAGACGGAGTCTCGCTCTGTCACCCAGGCTGGAGTACAGTGGCCGGATCTCAGCTCACTGCAAGCTCCACCTCCTGGGTTCACTCCACTCTTCTGCCTCAGCCTCCCGAGTAGCTGGGACTACAGGCGCCCGCCACCACGCCCAGCTAATTTTTTCTATTTTTAGTAGAGACGGGGTTTCACTGTGTCAGCCAGGATGGTCTTGATCTCCTGACCTCGTGATCCACCCGCCTTGGCCTCCCAAAGTGCTGGGATTACAGGCGTGAGCCACCGCGCCCGGCCCAGGCACCCTCCTTTTCTGTTCGACTCTGAGAACTGCCCTGGGCTGGGCCTTTACCAGGAGGTGACTCTGGTTCACTGCCTCTTTGACCTCCTCATGAGAGCAAGACTGGACGGGCCTCTGCAGTTGGTGGGCATCTGCATGCCCTGCAAGGCCCACCAGGACGGGCACCCCCAGAGGCCCTGCCCCCAGCTTTTCTCTCTCTCCATGTGACCAGAAAGCGGGCGCCCCTTATTGCAGTCAGCTTCCCCCTGTGGTTTCTTGACTAAGAAGGTTCACTTGGAATTTGGGGTCTCCCGTGGGCTGATCCTGTGGTGCTACTTCTGCGGCTGTGGCCTTTTGGGGAGAAGCCCTCATGGGAGGCAGGGCAGCTTCTGGGGGGCTCACCTGGGATGATGAAACTCGGTGCCAGCAGGTTCACAGCCGGGCCACAGGGACTGCAGCGGAACCTGGGTCATTGGCCTCCATGTGCCCAGACAAGCCTCCTCCAAGAGCTTGACAGGGGTTCTGCTGGGAGGAAAAACGCCCCCCAAGGCTGCAACCCCACAGGCAGTGGGCAGGGCGTCCAGATCCTGGGAAAGGGTGTCCGAGGCTGCACCGCTCCTGTTCCACCCCTTGGGAAACGTGGGTCATTGCACAATCATGTAAAATTCCAACAGAAAAATGCATAGAAAGGGATGTACAAACTTGTTAAGGTAATTAATGTAGTTGACAGAGGACAAATCGCGTTTCTGTTGGTGATGGAGATCCAGCGTGAAGCATTCCGCTAAGAAAAGCCGACATTAACTCCACATGTTCCCTTTTCCATCCCCAAGCCTGAGGGTCGGGTTATAATTTGTCAATCCAATTGTGGCACAGTGGCTTGACTTGCTATTTTTTTCCTGAAACACTGAGAGTTTTCTTTTCTTTTCTTTACTTTTTTTTTGGGGGGGGGGGCAATCTCATTTTCATTTTTTATTTATTTAAACATTTAAAAAATTTTTAAATCTTTATTATATTCTTATTTTGCTCCTTAAAGCAGCTGACCTGCAACGTAAGAATAATTGTTATTAATATATAAAAGATCAGGACCTATGTCAAGCCTGAGGCAGTCACTGGCACAGCCCTCGGGGCAAGGGCCCCTCCAGCCAGCCCTGCCCTGCTTCCTGGGGTACGGTGCATTGAGGGCTTCCCACGGCCCCTGACCTGCTGTGTCCGTCTGGGGCTGCCAGTCAATAGGAGGGGTGCAGAGTGAGGCCTGGCCTCCAGGTCTCATCTGCAGGCAGGGAGAAGGCAGAGAAGAACAGATCTGGGAGACTTCAGATCCTCTCCCCAGCAGAGGTCGGGCAGCATCAAGGCTGTGGGCACCGAAGTGCCCCAGCCACAAGAGGACTGCCCTGCCTGTGGTGTCTGTCACTGGGGAGCTGCAGGGACCAGGGGCATAGCAGAGGCTGGCAACCACAGGGCAAGCCCCTCCAGGCCAGGTTGGCTTTTGCTCCGGCCACCCTGTGGCACCATGGCAGGCAGGTCAGTCACACACACAGTCCTTGCACTGGCCATGGCATTTGAACTCAGAAGCAGTGGCTTCACACAGGCGCTAGGCTCGGAGACTGCCAGAAGGACGTCAGTGACGGGAGCAGCCCCGGGCAGTCTCAGCTCCGGCAGTGGAGGACAGTGCCAGGGAGGAGGGTGGCGTAGGCTGGGAACAGGCACCGCCACAGAGCACTGCCTGAGGGGAGCGGGTCCAATGGGGAGAGTCTTTGGAGTCAGCTTCTGGGGCTGGTCTGCATTCCTGGTTGGGATGCGGAGTGTTCCCAGCTGCTCTCGCCTGGCCCTCACCCGCTCTGAGTTCAGACACACCGCTTACCAGGGGGAGGCCCTTCCAGGGAGCCAGGGCTGCCTGCAAGGAGCTCCTGTGCAGAGGGCGTGGCACCCATGTCAAGGAGGAAGGTACTGTGGGTCCTGCACGCCTCACTTCCCAGCAGGTGATCTGAAAGGTGCCAACGTGGAGCTCCTCCCGGGGATAAAACAGCACACACAGCAGCATGGCCAGGGCTTCTGCGGGGAGGGGCAGGGCGCTGAGTACACTCGGGGGCCTGGGGCAGCCCTGCCTCCCAGGGACAATGTGGACTCTGGCAGCAGGGCATGACTTGGGACGAGGCCTGGGAGGAGATGCCCCGGGAGGAGACGCATCGACCACCACTTGCCTCCGCCCGGAGCCTCACTCTTCTCAGTTTCGTCTGTGTGAACTCTGTTATTAGAACCCAGCGGTTTTACAAGTCCTTTCCAGGGACATGTTTGAGGACCACTGGACCAGCTCTGGCCTCGGGTTCACATGCCCACATCCTGCAGGGCACAGTGACTGTCCTTCTGTCCCTAGCCTGGCCATCCCCTCCAGGTCAGGGCAGTTGGCCTCAGGCTCCGGGCCTGGCTCCCCCGGTTCCCTGGAGCCCTGGTCCTTGTGCTGTTTGAGGACTCAGCATCCCTTTGTTAGGTACACACCCTGGTGCCTTCCGGCTCCCCCAGGTCTCCTTGCTCAGCCATGCCAGGTTTCTCTGGGCTGTCATTCTTGGTGCCGGGGACTGACGGCTGTGTCCCCAGGGTGATGCGGAATCCTGCAGCGCTCTCCTCCTGCAATTATTCCAGAGGCTTAACAAACGAGGCGTCTGCCCAGGGCTCGGAGCCCTCTGACCTGCGCCCTCATTCATCACGAGAGCTCGGGCAGCTCGCGCCAGGCTTCAGGGGCGGGGGCTTCAGCAGCCACATTGACAAAGCACAGAGAGTTCATTTTTCATGGAGATGGAGCTCACGGTTTCTTCTGGCTGGCGGCTCTAGACAGGTGACCAGCCCCAGTGAGCAGTGGCCACACATCTTAGGCCTGGGGAAAGGAGGCAGGAGGACAAGTCCCTGTGTATGGGAGAGGTGGAGAGGATTGGCAGCACTCACAGTGGCTGGTGAGTGCCCAGCATCACCCCTTTGGGCAGAACCCAGAATGAGCACATGCAGGTTGCTGGGCTGGTGAGAAGTGGTACAGCAGTGGGAGACCTCGGGCTCAGCTCTGTGCCCTCCGCCCCTATGTCCTCGGGTTGCCCTAAGGGCAGCCGTGCCAGTCCCATGCTGACAGCATCAGCCATCCAGGGGCTGTACAGGAGGGCACTGGTGGTGCAGAGCTTCTGAGCTGTGGCAGCCACGTGGAAGACATGGGAGACAGCCCCAGCCAACAGGAGGGGCAGGAGATCTCCAGAGCCCCTTCTCCCCTAAAACTCACTGAAGTCAGAGTCCTTCTAGGAGCTGACTGCTCTGCTGTTCCCCACAGGCCGACTGCAACTCCCGCCCACTCCTTCTGGCCGGCTATGAGGATGGATCGGTGGCCCTGTGGGACGTCTCTGAGCAGAAGGTGTGCAGCCACATCGCCTGCCACGAGGAGCCCGTCATGGACCTTGACTTTGACTCCCAGAAGGCCAGGGGCATCTCGGGCTCTGCGGGGAAGGCGCTGGCTGTCTGGAGCCTGGACGGGCAGCAGGCCCTGCAGGTCAGTGCGCCAGGCCCTGGGCCTCATTTATCCTCCTCTGCACTAACAGTCTGATAGGCTGAAACAATATTTAGGCATGAAGAGGAGCTGTTGCAGATCCCTGGCTAATTAATCACTTGGAGGCGGATGCAGGGGGGCTGTCCATGGCTGGCGCAGGAAGAAGGGGGCGTGGGCGCTGGCAGGGTGTTCACATGGTTTGGGTTTCGCCCAGACCTCGGGTTCATGCCATTACATCTTGTCCATCTAGAGAAAGGCACGCAGAGTCCAGGAATACTCAAACCCCTTTGTGAAAACTCAGAGGAATTTGGTCAGTAAGGAACTGATTAATCAAAAAACAAAAAAAAACCCCAGTGTGGAAAACTGCAAGGAGCTGTGGCCCCCGTGGTGGTCTGGAGCTGGCCCAAGGGAGGCCGTTGCTCACGGGCAGTGGGAAAGCCCAGCAGGAAGGCAGGGAGGCCTCAGGGCCGCCTGGCGGTTGCTGAAGATCTTCCCGGGGTGTCTCCTGGGCTCTCCTGGCTGGCGTGGCTCGAGGGGCACCGTGGTGTCCCTGTCTGGGCCTGTGGCTCCAGGGCTCAACACAGGGTAGCCTGGCCTACACATGTGGCCCCATTTGGGATGGGAGGGATCGGGTCAGGCTGGTGGGAGCAAGGGGAGCCTCCTGTCCAGGTCTCATTCTGGTGCAGGTCTCGGGGCTGCAAAGACCATGGGGGATGAGGTGCTGGGTGTGGCCTGGGTACATTCTGGCTTCTGGGGGGTGGACAAGGAGCCCCCATTCACCAGAAGCCTTGGAAGCCGGAGACTTACCCACAGCCAGCGAGTGGCCTGATTGCCCAGTCTCGTGGGTGAAGGGCCTCCAGGGGGAGCTGCATGTCCCGTGAGGTGGCTACTGGCAGCAGCAGCAGCTCCCAGCCTCACTGAGGACAGGGCCTAGGGCTGCCCTTCTCTGTGGGGCTGTGGTCCGGGCTGTCTGTATGACAGGAGGCCACAGGGAAGGCATCTCTTGGGCCCCCCAGGCGGGGCAGACTTGCCAGCAGCCCCAGCAAGCCTGCTGCGCCTTACGCTCGCCCAGCCCTGGCCCCTGTGGGGCGGGGAGGGCTCACCTCGGGTCTGTCAGGCCCACTCCTGAGTAGGCACCACCAGAGCCTTTGAAGCACATGGTGGAGCTGCGAAGGACGGGCCCTGAGTATCCTGAGTAGGCACCAGGATACACAGAGGGGCAGGGTTCTGTGAGCGGCCCCAGTGTCCTGTGGGCATCACCAACTTGTGCGGGCACATGGCAGACTTGCAGGAGAGCTGTGTCCATCCATTGCCCATCCGTCAGCTGTCCTGGGGGTGGGGATGCAAGTCCCTGCTGTAAGCGGCAGAGCTTCTCCTGTTTCCCCGGGAGGAAGGGTCTCCTGAGGCCTAGTGGGCCTGTGTGATGGGTGGATAAGAGTCATCATGATGCCCATTCTTAGCAGCTAGAAGCTGAGCTGCTCCGGGCGCTGGGAGGCGGAGCCCCTCTGGGTGCTGGGTCTGCATGTCTGGAAGGGGCATCTCCCTCCCACTCCCTCCCTCCTCAAGCCTGGCAGGGACCCTGCAGGGCGCCCCCATGGGGTCCAGTGTTCACTTGGCACTGGCTTGTCCTTCACCAGTCTGACAGTAAAGGGCTGAAGACCCAGGCAGCTTCCCTGAGAGTCCCCAGAAGGCTCTTCCCTGCAGTCCTCACCCCTGCGCCCAAGACCCCGGGAAGGGGCCCTCCTGCCGTCCTGGCCCAGATCTGCCTCGTCTCTCCTGGCGTGCTTGGGAAACAGCTGCTGGAACTTAAGACTGTAATTTATGGGGCACGTTCCAGTCCAGAGATGAACTTGACCGGATTGATGAACTGAAAAGTTAAAGCAAAAGGGGGACCAGGTATTAATGAATTGAAAAGTGACAGCAGAAGGGAGAACCAGGAACTGGAAGTGGTTGGCGTGGCTGTGGCGTGCTGGGCAGGGCATCGGCCCGTGGTGCACATCAAAGGAGAAGCGCTTCCCCTACTGAGCCCTGTGTTGCATGGGCCAGGAGGAGGCCTGGGAGGGGACAGGCGACTCCAGGGACAGGGGACAGGGAGCTGGAGAGGCTGACATGCCACCCTCTGCCCAATGTCACGTCTTAACATTGATCCTAGAGGCCCTGGAGACTGCAGGTTCTGTAAAGCCCGGGCTTCAGGGAAAGCCTCTGGGGGCGCTTTCGGAGGTGAGCTGCCTGAGAGCATTCTTGCCGCCGGGAGCAAGCAAGGTGACCGAAGATCCTCAGCACCCACAGGTGTCCTCACCCACCGCCTGCACTGTGACTCCTCGGCCAAGAGCCACGTGGGCGTGGCTGTGTGTCCCTCGCACCCTCCCGCCGAAGCCTCTGATAAGCCAAGATCAGTCTCCCCCCAGCGGGTGCTGGGAGCGGAGACGCGAATGAGGTTCCTGGAGCAGAGCATGGGTAATCAGAACCAGATGGTGGCCTGGCCGCGCCACGCATTCCTGGCACCTGAAGTCATACGCTATGAGAGACACTGGTGGCCAGAGATCCTTCCTGGAAGGGCCAGGTCCAGGCTGGGGCTTGGCCAGGGGCCGTGATGGTGACGAGGAGGCTGCCCACATCAGGATGCCACCTGAGGGTGCCTTGGAGGCAAGTGGCAACTGGCGCCCTGCCTTGCTAAGGTGGCTTTCCCACGAGCCGTCGCAGTTAGAGCCTGCGTTGTCATCAGATACAGGTGGTACGCAGGCCCTCTCCCTCCCACATTTGGGGTAGCGCCCACAGCCTTGAAGCGGGGACTGATTTACAGCCAGCCATATTCTGAGGCCTTTAAGTAATAATGAGGCTCCCCTACTCCAGACAGCCCTGGCCTGGGAAGTGGACCAACCGTGGCTCTCCCATGAGGCACAGCCAGGTGTCCCAGCTGCGCTCCCATCTGCACAGCAGTGGTGGCTGCTGCCGCCGTCTCCCAGAGGCTGCCCTTTAGAGGGCAGTAGCAGAGCTGCTGGGCAGCCAGGAGGGAGGGCAGAGGGCCCTGGGTCAGCTCCCCGTGCATCGCATCAGGAGGAGAGGCTTGTGCAGGGCGTGGGCATGATCCCACCTGCCATCAGGAGCACAGTAGTGCAGGGCCCTGGCTGCCATCACTGCAGGGCCAGGACCGGTCCTCTTCTTCAGGAACACAGGGCTGGAGCAGGCCCTAGTCTTTCTCCAGGAGGCCCCACCAGGCTTCCTGCATCGTCCTCATTTCCTGCGGGAAGCTGGTCTTTGCACCTGGTTTTCTTTACCTCGATGCTGTCACTGCTTTCTGAGAATGGCTGAGGTGGGTGTGGGGTCGCTTCTGTCCCTGCAGGCAGTGGCTGCCTGGCTGGTGGGTAGGCACAGCCGGGCTGCTGGGCAGGAGGAACTGGGCATCTCAGCCTCCCACAGGTGAAGACACACAGTCAGGACTCCTACGGAAACCTCCCCGTGCGCCTAGTGGCTCCAGGCATTCAGCAGCTCTTTTCTCCCTGGGAAGGACCTTCCGGCAAATTCCTATCAAGAGGGCCCTGAGCAGGCCCCAGTGGCTTCCAGTGAGGGCCATGGCGTGGGGCCCGGTGTTTGCTCTCTACCACTGACTTAGGGCAGAGGTCATAGGAGAGAAATGGGAGACAGTGACGATGGCATCAAATCAGCCTCCTGTTCTTGTTCCCAGCCACCAGTTCCCTCCCTGGGCCACTGTGTTCTGGTCCCCGAGATCAGGGAGAGGCTCCTGGGTCTGCAAGCACAGGCGGTGAACCCCACATGCGTGACACGTACATGCCAGCATCCCCCCACGGCCCTGCACAGCAGGTGCTGGCCTTGATGGCCCCTCAGCCGGGTCACAGGGAGCCAAGTGGGGAGGCAGGGGCTGGTGTGGAGGGAGGGGAGGCAGCCCTGAGGCCGGGTGCTCTGCACACTGAGGCCAGCCTTGGCTTGTGGTTGCCAACCAATGGCTGTGTGTCGTGCTGCAGCACGTTCAGCTGCTTGTGTGTGCACAGGCAGGACGCTGCCAAGACCCCTAGAGCCAAGGTCTGCCAGGCAAGAGAGGTAGAGGACAGGCAGAGCATCTGGGATGTGCTGGGACTGTGCTGGTTATAGTGGGGGATGGGAGGGGCCATGAGAAGGGTCAGGGCTGCAGGCCTTGGTAAGTCCATGAACAAGGGGGCTTGGGCCCTGGAGACACCTTGAAAGGGCAGGACGATGGGCCTGCAGGGGCTTGGCCTTGAGGGACAAGCTGGTGTTGAGGTAGGAGGGCAAGGTGGCTGAGAGGGCATGGCGAGGCACCGACCTCACTGAGCAGGAGCCTAGAGCAGCGTCAGGGGGCGCAGGCGGTGGTATCCCAGGCCGGGGTGAGGGCTGTGGGTTATTTAGTGGCATCTCCTCGCCAGGTAAGGCTCCTCCCACCTCTCCTGGGGAAAGAATCTGGGTCTTGAATGGGTGCCTGATGTCACCAAATGCTCTCACTGTATCTCTCTGACTCATACAGGTTTTCTTCTTGAATCTGTTCATTGCATTGTTGGCGTTTTCTTAAACATTAAAACAACTAATATCCTCAGTCTGTCCCTGGATCTCAGGGAAAAGTCCTGAAATCACCATGAGCGCCCCCAACGTGTGACATATGCTCTGCCCACTCCGCTGGGCTGGGCCGGAACTGCCCAGGGCCACAGACTGACTTGGGTCTCCCTCTCCCACCACCTGCCTAGTGACAGGAGCCCCGGGCTCAGGAAGCTGGTGGGGAGCGTCCCCTCTTCTCCCGATGGATGGACACATTTGGGCGGTGGAGGTAGGGGGTTGTGAGTGACTGTAGGTTGGTCTTCACCTGCACCATTACTGGGCAGTTATTTTCTCTGCCTGGGTTGTCTCCTTTGTGGACTAATTTAGGTTTCCTGATTTGGGGAATTTTTCTTTTCTTTTTTTTTTTTTTTTTGAGACGGAGTCTCGCTCTGTCGCCCGGGCTGGAGTGCCGGACTGGAGTGCAGTGGCCGGATCTC